GTTACGGAGCTTTTGTGAGGGGACGCGGTAGCAGGTAGTGGGTACCCCCACGTGCCGACATCTTCCTCCTCCTCCTCCTCCTCGATGGTCCGGGATGGATGGGATGTTGCCGCCCCCAGCATGGTCTCTGTGTGTGTCTTTGTGTGTGCTGTCATGTTGCAGTCCTGAAATATCTCACAGTTTGCAGGACAGGGGCAGGCGCTAGGAATCGGCACAATGAACCACTGATTTGCTTTCGCCTGTAGCCGTTGGCTTGTGGGGATCACGTGTAGGCTGCTCCAGATTCTTGAGGCCTTGGATAGGGTGTGTGCAACACTTGTACCGCTCACATGCGAACCATTTTGTGGCCAGGTTTGAAACATGGGCGCTCGCAAGCCGTGGGGCATACAAGTGCTCAATCGGTAAGACACGTGTGAAGGTTGCGCATGTGCCTGAGGTCTGTGGCGGTCGCAGTGCCATGTTTATCAGCAACCGATGGAATGATGCGTGAGCTTACCATGGGCAATTCTTACATAGAGCTGCAAGTATGTAAGCCGATGTAGGCGTCATCATTTCATGGGCTAAAGCTGGTTGAGCCTGGTTTGTGGGTGTATTTCGCGTTGCCGCTTTCCTTTGAAATGCAGTGCGTTGCTTCTCCATTACAACCATGTCCCATAATCATGTCTGCAATATCAAGCAACTTTTGCAGGTAAACATACTCTGCCAAGGGGGTTGCACATGCAAAGCGTGCCTGGACAAAGGTGCAAGCTGGGTGTTGTTGGCCGCAAGAAAACAAAATTGAAGCGAAACAAGCGCTGCTTCGCCACATGGTTGGCCAAAACGATGCCTTGGAGGCTGGAGGACTTGCAGCCACCGTTTGCCAGAAATCAGGGGCAAAAAATCCACATCTGGCAGTTTGGATGAGGCATACAGGCAGGAGGCCAGCAAGTGCAGGGACGCCCAGGATGGCGAATTGACGGTCATTATGCTTCATTCGCGAGGCATGTGTCACTGGCTACTGCCCAGGTTCTGCTGGGGAACCTATTTGCGACAAAGTGCGGATTTGCATGGATGCGGCTGCCCGTAATGTGTTGAATGCGGCAACCCAGGCAAAGACAAGCCACTCAGCATGTTCATTCATACCCGTGTCCAGATACGCGGAGATACCGACACAGGGATATTGGGAGGGCACATGGCTTTCTGAGGTGCAGAGGGCAAAACGGCATCAAGGCCAATTTCGCACTTGATGGTTGCCATGAAGTTATGTAAAATGCAGCTCATCGCATACCGTTTGAGGGGGCGCTTGCATCCATCGACCAGCATGATGATTTCACCGTTGCTTGCTCGCGACAGAGCCTCAGCAGGTGCAGGTGTCATCGTGCATTTGTGCGCAAATGGACACATGTCTGTTGCGGAAGGGCTTGAAGAGGCTGCCCCGCAGAAGTGATGCTGCGGATTTCTTGGGCGTGGTTTGCCCACGTAATCATCCGCAGTTGCCCGATGTCCGGCGAGACTCAAGCGATGCAACGCGTTGCAGGATAGATGCTTGTTTGCTCACCAGGTGAAAATGCACTTGCCGGACAGTTTTGTGTAAAGACGAGCAAGCGATTCAGCAACATCGTGTTCACACAAAGACTCCACAGCATGGTTGGCCAGGCACCGCGCCGCCCGAAGTTGGTTGACCTCTCAGTGAGTGTGCCAGCGTGGGCAGCTTGCTAGCGTTTAGCTTCGCTTGATGAGGTGATTGCATTGCTTTGTTTGGGCCCCGCGCCTTCCTCAGTCTTGCGCAAGTTTGTCACAAGGTGCATATAGGTGCATGATGTGCAAAGAACTAAAATTTAATGCGCGTGAGGCAATGCTGACGTTTGCCACCATGCCAAGACAGAGCATATGCGAAAACAAGGAGCGCAAGTCGCGTGAACTGTGACTGGCAACGTGTTGGCTGCTTATGATTGAGGAGATGGTTGCGCGCAGAAGCCCGTAACTTTGTTATCACACGATTTTAGGTGGGTCATGTTTTCCAGGGATGTCGTTTTGACACATGTTGAGGTCTTCTCACTGCAGTGGCAGCAACACCGTGGCTGGCAACAACGGCCACTCCATTCAAACGTGTTAAGAGGTGGGAAGGCCCTTGAAGGTGTCCTCAAGCCTGCAGTGGTCTGCGCAAGTAAGACAAACAACGCGAGTATATTGTGTGCAAACATACGGAGACCTTAGGTTCCTGCAGCTGTGGCTGCCGAGAAGGCGGCTCCAGGCAAGTTGGAGGCAAAGTTGGAGCCATGGGTCTGGTTTTGCCGTGAATGAATTGAAACGACAGCGGCAGTTTTTGTGAGAGCTGGGTGTCCACGTTTGCCAGTGGAAGGCCTATGGCTTGAGCGGGAAGAGAGCAAAACAAGTCAACGGCATATGGCTCAGCCTCAGAAAGCATTGCCGATGGCTTGCTCTTTTTGGGAGCATGCAGGTTTGTGGAGCGTGTTCCCAGACACCAAGGCGTTCATTTTGATACTTCGGTTGCAAACCTCTGGGACTTCACGTGCATTCCGGCAACGCCAGGTCAACGGCAGAGCTGTTTTCAAGAAGGACAGTAGTCGGCATTGCGCAATGTCCCTTTTGTTCTCAACTATTGTCGGATCTATCCATCGTATGTGACGTTGCGCAATAGCCTCTTGATTTCAGCGATTGTCGGACTTAAGATTTTTCCATCGTGTTTGAAAAAGGATGATGAAGACATCTATCTGACCTACAGCGACTGCCAGCAGTTCCAGTCTTTCCGTCATGTATTTCAGCCTGATTCCAGATGGTGAAGGTGCCACTTCTCGCCAGGATGGTAAAGAAACCAACAGGAGAGTGCAATGGCTTTGCCTTAGAGTTCAGCGCTTGGTCTTGTTCTCACCCGCAGCAAAAGATGTGGGCGTGTGTATGTTCCGTTGAGGTACAAGGGTGTCTGGGAGGTTGATGGTGAGGCGCGTTTCAAAGTTTGAGATGTTCAAGCCAAGACCGTCAAGTCAAAATTCAAGCGTGTTGGCAGGACACCAGGTTGAAAGTGAAACCATACCAATCCAAAGAGGACAGAAAGAAGGGCGCACAGCCGCCCGCGGCCTACAGGTGTGCGTGCTGAATGAAGGGTCGTGCCTGCAACTCGCACGCTCATAGTCTTTCGGTCTGTGTCCTTGTTGACCCTTTTTTGGTACCAGCCCGGATGTCATTCAGGAAGTTAAGGTCTGGTGGCGGCGGCGGGGGTTTCTTCCAGATTGGAAAGATTGAGCCTATCATTGGAGCACCTAAGCAGGCGGCGTTGCCTGTTTTTTTGGGCAGCAGATGCTGGTTTGCTGCTAGTGAAGTTTATTTGCAATAGGAGACCGACGAAGAGGTTCTGCTCAATGGCCAGGATGCGCGACATCTAAGACCTCGTGTGGGTGTTTTTTGTTTGTGCCCAACAAGTCCTTGCTTTCAGCGTCATGGTGCCCATCAGGTCAACGAGTATGTCCGGAGGAAGGGCAGCACTGCGGGGATCTCATTTACTCAGCAACAGCTGGCAGAGTTGCTCCCCAACATTTGAACTGCTTTTTTTTTGTGAGGGCATGATGGGGATGCAAGACTACTTGACCAACATGATGACCTTGGAGGCGGAGGAGCACACTTCTCAGATGTGGGAGGTTTCCCACGCCTGGGTTTGCAGAAGATTTCTTGTGGCACAGTTTCTTGATTTCTTCAGGGAGAAGATCGCGGACAGCTTGGAAGCGAGGCTGAACGCAAAGCTTGGATCCCGGGACATCTCCAAGGTCAAGTCGCGATAGACGGAGTGCTTAATGCCATGATGCTTGACCCCATCGTGAGAGCCGAGTTTCAACTGGTCAGGTGTTCCCTCTAGAATTTGCGTTGTATCAGTTACATTGCCCAGATGGTGTCGGGAATGTGTCTTGTCGGCGGGAGCACCAAGCCTGTTCTCACATGGGATGTTTTTCTTAGAAACTAGCTCATCCCGCGGCATCTACGGCATTGCCATGCTTGCATTGGAGATGTGCGCACAGCAAAAGAGTTGTACAACTGATGCAAGGGCATGGCACTGGTGCCAGACATGGCCAAACACCTTGTCTTGTTGCTATCCCAACCTCAAGATTCAGGCCAAGGCTGGCAAACAGCCACGAGAACAAATCCTGCCTTTGCAAGGAGAGATCCCTTTGACCGTGGAGTCTCAACTGAAATGTGCAGTAAGAGAGTAGTAGAGTCAAAGTTTAGTGAAGCAGTGAGCTGGGTTCTCATCGATCATGGTGGCTACTGTGCCCCGGCACGCGTAGCGAGGATGGCGGAGGCGGTGCAGAGAATGTTCTGACAGCTGGGATGTTCATCCCTACTTTCCGCCTTGCCCCCTACCGGTGTGCCCTGCTTGCCCAAGTAAGCGCTTTCAAAGCGACTCGAAACTGTTATTTGCATTTAGGGCCGCTGTCGCTGTCAAAGTTCGAAAATGGCCAGTCGGTGCCAAAACGCGAACGTGAGCATAGCCCCGCATTGACAGCCAATCTTTTTCCATGTAGTTGTACTACATTGTGCCATGAGATCAGTGCAACTCGCATTCCATGGCGTTTGCCTCTGAGATCTCTGAGACAGTTGCAATTTCCTCATGGTTGCGTTGCCCTCTTCAAATAACATCTAGCTCACACATTGTGGCTGTGGTGCAGTTTCAGCTATGCATGTGAAGAGACCAAACCGCTGAAAGGAAAAGAGCCAAGAAGGAGTCGCTAGTGTACTCGCAGAATAGCAGAGGCAGAGGTAGTATTATCAGTGGGCAGCAGCATTGTAGTGGCTGTGTTGTTGATGCATGTCCGAGTGCTTTTGTGAAAGCTTATGAGCACGCGTCTTGGTTGCGTAAAAAGCTGTTGCCGCTGGAAGATTTTTCATCCTTCAAATAGTCGGCTTTGTCCGCAAGACTTAGCATGCTGGGTTGGGCTCAAAGGAGGAGTTATGCGTATTTTGTATGTGTGGTCCACTAGGTAAGTTGGCAAATCTTTGCGTGTGGACAGGCGGAGAGCATTGGGCCTGCTTCAGACAACGGTGCTTCACAGCAGGCGCCTTCAGCAGCATTGCGGCTTTCTAGCGAAGCATCTTTGGTTATCTTGTTCCGAACAGGTCGACGAGACACCAGTGTCAGATGATGGCTGCGGCGTGTCAGCGGAGGTGCTTCCTTACCAGATGGTTCACATATCGATAGGTTGTCCATGGCATCATGGACTTGCAAGATGGTCAAGCGGCAGGAAGCCCATCCAGCAGGTAGCGAAGCGGAAGAGGCCTTGCAATTAGGAAATGTTGTCACCGGTTCTTCCAAGAAGCGCTTGCAGATCTTTTGCCCAGGAAGCATCAGGAGCACCAGCCCACAATCTGGAGGAGCAGATGCAGCAGATGCATCTTGTGTTGGTAGCAGCGATACCCTGTCATCATGCTTGTTGCGAGATTTTGTGCTTCTTTGTATCTTGATTAAATTCTGATACATGCGTTTCCTTCCTGCGTATCATTGGTACTATTGTTATTGTTGCGACTTGGCTGACCAGGGCCAATGTTGCTGTCTGCTGTTGTTCCAGTCTTTTTGGGTCATCATTTTTCTGTCACGATTATGCCTGCTTTTCCACAGTCGTGGTGCTGCGGCAGATGGCCACCACGCCCTTGCTCAACCTGGTCCGCAGCGTGGTGGGCAAACCCGAAAATCTGATTTTCCAGCCGCAGCCGGGTGGAAAGAGTGGGATGCCCGTACATCTGGATGACTGTAGCTTTCAGACACTCCGGGTAGGGGGCTATCCTAGGTACAGCGAGATTCTATACACGGTGAAAAACGATCGAATGGATTCAGCCAGAACATGTAGGAACAAGTAACCAGGTACGATATCGTGCGTGTCTGTTGTTAGACGGAGGAGTTCGCAGCCCGTACAGGACAGCTGGCCTTGTAAACGCGATGTCCGTCTACAGGGAGCTGGAATATGCTGGAAGCTGCACACGGCTGGTGGTTCGGCGCTGGAACAGTGGCATGCTGATGCTTCCTGCATCGATGTAGCTGGACTCTGCTTGGACAAGATCTGCCCAGGCTCCTGTCAACACTGGCAGCATCTTATCCAACTGTCTCGACCGCTTGTTTCTCCGCTCTGCTCGGTCATCGGAGACCTCCCGCCAGCAGGATGTTGCAAGGTCTCACTGGTGCCAACGTCGCTCCTGACACTCCCGAGGTTGAGGCGTTGATGCACTCCAAGTTTAGCCCCCCTGCCGGACCAAGCCTCCTTGACCCGCGATGTGCACCGACTGTCAATGAGCTCTCGGTGGAAGGGGTTCTCCAGGCCATGTGCTCCTTCAAGCAAGGGCGGCCCCTGGACCTAGCGGGCTTCGCCCGGACTTCTTGCGAGGTCCTGGCGGATGCTGGGGCGAGCAAACCAGGCCTCTCCCCCATCACTTCCTTCGGCCTATCTCGGAGCTGCTCTGGTGAGTTGGAAGTGTTGTTGGCGAGGCCTTGCACGCCACTGAGATCCACGCCCTGCGCCAGCACCTGCTCCCACAGGCAATCATAGGCACCTGCTCCCACATCAATTCGCTGTGATGGCCTCAGCAACTGCGGCCTGCGTCTTTGCAATGTTGGCCGCGAATTGATCGGAGTACAGAGGAGGACTTGATGATTTCGACGCTACCATCGGTTACGATGATGCAGCCCTCATCGATGAACGGTTGCCAACTCCCGTGACCTTGTCCCTGCAGCTGACCTCGGCGCCCTTTATAGTAGAGGCTGGTACCTGAGTGGGTCTGGTACACATACTCCAGCCACCTGTTAAGACCAGGGCAGAACTCACGCATGGTCAACCTCACTGTGCGCCTCATCGAATGCCAGAAGAGCCCTGTCACCGTCAGTCCTGAACTCCTCTCGCCACAGGCTAGCGACATGCCGCAGCACCCCAGCACCAGCTGGCACACTGGCGGCCTGCCCGATGCCCAGGTTGGCTGCTGCCTTCTCCGCCACTGTTGCTCGGCTTCACACATGAACCGCCTCATGCCAGCCTCGTTATGCAGGGTGGTTTGCCTGACCCGTTCTGTGGAATTTTTCTGGATTCGCACGGTCGTCATGCTGTCTCCTGCATGTCTGGTGGGGACGCTCTTGTGCCGCACAACAGTATCCGCGACCTGGTCTATGACTTTTGCGGGCGTGGCCGATTGCCAAAAAAGGGCTGTCTATTCCTAATACCACTCTGATTTATTGAGCTCTGGCAGGGAACATCCTACCGGATTGAGCTCTCGTTGACACCAAAGCGTCTTCAAACCTTGCAGCCTTTTTTTGTTCAATAGTTTCTTGTACTGGTACGGGGTGGTAGCCTCCTGCTGCTGTCAGCAGCAGCAGCAGCTTTGGCATGTTCATGCAATTCTGGCAAGGACTGTGCAGACGAGCATGCCGCGGATGCTGGCGCCTTTGACTTGCGGCATATTGAGAGAATGTGCACGTTTCAAGTTGAACTGAGGATGAAGGACCAAACGAGGATCTGGAGGAGCTGTTCCTGAGATCGGACATCAACTTTGCATGTCAATTGCAACCCTGCAGGAGGAGGAGCCAGAAGACGATGAGGCAGGTTTTTTGATGACCGAGTCACGGTACTTGTGGGAGCAGCACTTCTTTGTGGAGTGTGAGGGTCTGAGCTCTGACCTCGAATCTCATAGTGTCACAAGCCTTCCAGCCACTCAAGTTTTCACAGGCTTTGGGCTCAGAAAGTAGATTTCCAGCAAGGTCCCAACACAGGAACCCAGGAAAGCAATAGCAACAGAAAGAGACATCGAGGGGGCAGTGAGGGAGAGATGACAAGGAGACTCCAGTGCGTGAGATGAAAGCTCTTGTTGCTTGTCAATCGCAGGAGTCATTTCAGTTACAGGGAACTACATCTCCATGCCGTGAAAGAGGGGAAGAGACCCCACTCTGGCACCTGGAAGCAAGGGAGAAAGAGGGGAGTGAAGTGTACAATGAGTGTCGGAGTAGCTTTCTCCAAAGCTGCTGTGCTGCAAATTTGGCAGAGTTCCTAGCCCAGACGACAAATCGCACCGACTGAGAAAGGGTTGGGGAGCAGGATCAGGTACCAGTGTCACCGCCAAGTCCTAGTTAGCGGTTTGTCTTCCAAAGCATACGTGCTACAGGTTCTTGGCCTATCTGTTCCCCGCAGTCTCATATCCAAGGACCAAGAAGAAGAGGCCATGCAAGAAAGGCAGAAGTCAACCGAAAGGAATGCAAAGTAACAGCAGCAAAAGTAGTAGTAGTAGTAGTAGTAGTAGTAGTAGTAGTAGTAACAGTAATCGTACTGAAGTAATAGTAATAGTAATAGTAATAGTAATAGTAATAGTAATAGTAATAGTCATAGCAATAGCAATAGCAATAGTAAAGTAATAGTAAAGTAATAGTAATAGGATAGTAAGAGTAAGAGTAATAGTAATAGTACTGGTAATAGGAATGGTAATGCTAATGGTACTAGCAATACTAATCTGGGAACTCTGAGTTCTCACTCGGTCGGAAAAAAAACGGAATTTGGGTCATGTTAGCCAGCTGGTAGCTAGGTCCTCACACGAAGCCAAGTAAGTGAAACAGGGCAAACTAAGCAAAGTTTCGGACGTACAGCGCTGCAGCGCGAGAAAGGCACCCCGGGAGACACCATTTCAGACAAGGCGGGGCAGAAACAAACACTTGCTTCGGCAACAGCAGAACAGCTTTTGCTTGCTTCAAGCCTTCTGCTGCGTCGTTCGGGCGCTGTCTGCTCCTCGTGCTGAGAGAAGAGGGATCCGTTCACGACTAAGAATGAAAAGACCTTTGGCAACGAACAAATCCTGGATTTTGCATCTCCAGGATGTCTGGGTTGTGCATTTGAGCAGGAGCTGTCGCCGTATCATCCAAGTCCGCCTGGTTGATCCCCCAGCCATGCAGCCGTGCAATGTTGCATCAGACAATTTGACGAGTCAGGCACAGCCGGCGGTGGTGACAACAAGGACAGCGGTTAGCATGCTTTCGTAGCTTTAGCAGTTCTTGTGGCGATCCTTTGTGAGATGGTGCAGTGGTGAGGACGACACCTTGCAGATATTGGTTGACATTTCCGAGGCCAAAGGTGGGAGCAAATGTGCACCTGAGCGTGAAGCTTGTTCCGTGCAATCTGTCTCAGGGTTTTCTTCATCTCGCCGCACCCGCCGTCCGCGTGTGGACCATGGAGGCACCGCCTGGCACCTGGCAGCGAATGACTGCTTGTGTCGAGGTGCTGGCCCGGGCCCACATGCAGCGGCCCCAGTGCCTGCTCTCTTGACTTGTTGGATGCCCAGCCTGGTTTAGCGCTCTGTGAGCTGCCTGCGTTAAGTTCAGACACAAGAAATTTCAAACAAAGATGAATCGCATAAACAGGGTACCTCGCATGGCTTTCTTGGGCGCATTAAACGTAGGAGAAGGCATGAAGAAGCATTTTCACGTTTCTGATGGACCGCGCCATGATAAGCCCCTCGTTGCGGCCTCTTTGCTTCCCAGACAGCCGGCTGCAATCAGATGTCAACCTGTTCCGGGAGGGCACGCATAGGTTCTGAGTACCCTGACCTTGCAATCAGGTTCGTGTTCTCCATGCAGACAAGGTGTGTGGCTGGGCACATGCTGCAAGGTATGGAGAGGTAATCAGCAAAATGCCCAGATACATTCAGATCAGGCTCTCTTGTCCCCTTGGAGATGTCAACACAGCAGCATCCGCTGCAAACTGCGAAGAGGCATCAGCATTAGCCTAGAATCAAGACAGCGCAGTACTCGTTTCAAAATGCTGGTGTGCTCAGGGGTATTGGTGGGCGGCCTGCTGACCTTGCTGCCACGCCGCATTGCCAAGTCCTGGAGGCATGCGTGTCAGAATGGTAAGGCATCATTCTCCATACATGGCAGTTTAGCCACTGCAATGCTTGGGGGCGAATTCGGCTTCGTATGTTTTGGGGTGGTTGCCAGACAAGGCATTCGGCCAAAGTCTGGAAGCACTGACTGGCCATTTTCAGTTTGCGGCAGCTGCACAGTTTCGTCTTGACCCACCATAGAAGAATGGCGTTTCTAGAAGACAACAACATCAGCAAGAATCACAGAAGCTGTTGAACATTGTCCAGAGCATGACATCTTTGCGCTAAAAAGAGTTTGTGTTGGCACGTGAATTGCAAGAGATCGGGCTACTTTCAATTGTAGCTGCAGCGGAAGTCTCGGAGCAATGACCCACCGGATCCTTGGAATTTCCGAATGAAGCAACTAGAAATCCAGGCATAATTTCAGGTGCAAGCGCATTGTCATTTGCCAGTTCACGCCATGATTTGCCTTTACGTCCCTGTTTCTTGCCAGATCATTCAGATTGAAGAATAAGCATTTTTTTGCCTTTTTGTTTTTCAGATCCCCTCGCATCCTGCCACAGCTTTCTATCCAACGCCCACCGCTTCTGTCAAATGCTTACTGTCTATCTGGGGGAAAGAGGCGGCGAGCAGCGGTTCCGGCCCTTTCCGCATCAGCTGCAGAAGTAGGGCCTGGGTCACTGGCATCCCTAAGGCCACCAGAAGGGCAGCATCTTTCACAGTAGATGATGCCGGCTGCCTATTGTTCAACTGCAATGGGTGGAATCTCTGTGCGTCTTGGCGAGTCAAACACCCCAACTTTAGGTTGTCGTGGTGTATGACCGTAATTCCAAACAAGCAGGGGAAGCCCGGGCCTTATCTAAGATCTGATTGCATCATCTGATAATTGTTTGTTGGGTGTGTGAATGCTTCTCCCAACCTTGATCTTGAAGGTTGTGGTTGCAGTGGAGCAGGCCTTTTGGAATCTGAGATTCAAGACGGTCCAAATTTTCGCCTGCAGGATAGCGCCATGGCCCCTCATCCAGTCGCTTATGCAGTCGTGCCTTCAAGTGTCACCATCTCAGTGCATTTGGAGTGAATGCTGGTATGATTTGCATCTAGATCATGGAGACAAGGACAGTGATGCGCTGACCGAGTTAGCAAGGCATCCCGCTTCACGCGATTCCACGTCTCTTTCCGTGTTGGGAACATATGACTTTTTTGGACACGGTGACGTGGACCCTGCTTTGCAGGCAGCGTCGTTTGAGCGACGGCTGCGTGGAACGACTTCGAAGGGATGCTACAGCTTCCGCTGTGCTACCCGGGGGAGCTTTAATTGAGGACCAACCTTTATACTGCCGTGTTTTGTTCAGTTTCGCTCAGCTAACCGCTTGCCAGTGTTGATTTTGTTGTTCAAGCTTGGAGCGTTTGCCGCAAGCCAAAGCTTCTCGCGGCCTTCCGACCATGGAAGACTTGCCAGAGATGAGAGGTTGGTCCATGAAGCATGGCCATCGCAAGCGGCTGATGATTGTGCGAGATCTTGGGTGCTTTGAAGATTCAGAGCAATGCCTGGGCCGCTCAACAGTAAAACGCAGCGTTCACAACGGGAGCCGGCGTGGCTTCGAGGACCCAACTTTCATTGGAAAGTATGGGAGCGATTACAAGATCCACACACGCCGCACCACTCTTCGGCAGCAGATCCTCACTGATCTGATGGACTTGGCAGACATTTCAGATTTGCAGCGTGATGACTGTCTAGATGAGAGCTGGAGTGAAGACGAATGGGCTGAAGAAGACTTGTCTTCAGAAGATGACATAGTCTCCGAGTTCGGAACAGAGTCCACTGCTGCTTCGACCCTTGATCACCAGAGCGCTCCAGTGCCAAAAGCCTCGACACATCGTTGGGACGAAGCTGTGGGACGAGCAAAGTTCGCTGCAAAGATGCGGCTCGCACCAACAAGTTTACGATCTGTTTTGGAACTGCGAGGTTTTTTTCAGACCCTATGGAGCACGACTGCCCAAGTCACATTGAGTTTGTAGCTGTAGCTGGTGCACTGGATATTGGTCAGGCAAGCCATGCAGAATGTGCCGAGGTACTCCAGATCAGCCAGGTCTAGCATTGGCCAGAAGTCAGAAAAGAAGCAGGTGCCGGACAAGGTTCCGGCCAGCAAACATGACCACTCCTTTTTGTGTCGCATGGCTCGTGCAACCTGCAGGTGAAAGCTTTGATAGACACTCTCAAACAGAAGCACAATGTGAAGCTGATTGCGGACAATTCAGCTCAGAATGATGGATTGCAAAGCTTCCAGTTTCGCTTTCTGGAAGACTTCTTGACAACCATTTGCTCCGGATTGCGAGGCATTTTTCGCAACGAGATCTGCTTGCGAGCTGCACCTACTAGCAAGCAAGTTCAGGATCGTTTCTTCATGTCAAAGTCTGAGAAGAAGGGTACGCTTTCTGCTGTTTTCCACGGCACCGACGAATCCAACTTGCCTTCGATTTATCAGAAAGGACAGGGTTTGCTTGTGACCGCCATTCCGTTCGAGGTCGGTTTTAGTGCAGCAATGCTCTTGCCCTGCAAAGGACTCCTCGTACCGGGAGGTGAAGGTGTACGTGTCCTCCACGGGGCCTCGCATGGCAATGGCATCTACACGGCCAAGACGCACAACGCAGCACTGTCCTTCGGATTTTGTCGGGGTGCCACGCGACCGTTGCTAGTATGTGGTGTGCTTGACGATGCTGTGGCGTTGGCCAAGCCGCAACTCCTTGGGCGCCACTATGTCACTGCAGAGTCGCAGCATGTTCGTAGCTCGGATGTACTTAGTTGCCTGTTTGTGGCGGGCTGATGCTGGTAGCTAAGCGCTTTTATCCTAGATCGCTGGTAGGCTACCTTAGCATCCTGGAAGGTCACGTTGGCGATGCAATCGTGGTCTTCAACGAGAGTCGAATCATCCCTCTTTTTGAAGCCTGGGAGCCGGGGCTCTGCCCGACTTATGCGCCGGCTGTCCCAAGCCCAAATCCCGTATTTGTCGCGCCCCCCCCACGTCCACTTCCAGCCGTGCCACAGCATCTTGCTGGGACATTTTGAGCTGAGTTCTTGAGATAGAGAATCGGACTTATCTGTGAGCAATACACATTGTCCTCAGGAGAGTTTACAACGGTGGACCGAAAACCCGTCTTTCGACGAGCTTCGGGGCGCAGGAATGCATGTGGCACTTGCTAAAGGATTTGCGGCACTCAAGTTTTCCCTTGCAATGTAAATGAGCCAAGGAAAAGGACAACAAGGGAGGAGAGGGCAATTGCCTTTCTCCAGCGCCGCGCTGCCAGGGTCCGTTATGCAGGTGGGCTGCACCTGGCGGCAACGGTGCACAGAATTTCACAGAATTGACGCTTCTTGAAGGGTGATCTGGCTGCCGGTCCAGCTTTTACTCGCGGCTCCGGGCAGGCGGGAAATGTGGTTCTCTGCTTTGCCGAAACTTTGTCTGAGACGATGCTATCGAAGGAAGAATGGTGGTGGGAGTGGCCTCCAAGTTTCGAGCGCTTCCATCTGCTTCATATCTCTTTTAGTCTCGCTTATTCTGACAGCCCAGCGGCAGGAAGAACAGCAACTGTACAGACATTTTTGTGCTGCAACGGTATGGAGCACACGTTCTTGCCGAGCAGTGTAGCACCTAATTCCTGTGGAGCTGGCGATGTACAGTGTACAGGACTTCTAGCCAGCCCTGGAGGCTTGCATGCGTTTCGAAGTTCTGGCACTGAGCCTCGCAAAAGAGGGCGGAGGCAGTATCTTGGCGCAAGGATGAATAGTAGGATTGGGAAGCACCAGACCTGCGAGGACCTTGAGATGGACCCGTGGCCCTTGCTGCGCGAGCTGCGGTATCGAACCTGCAACTTGGTTTGAGGAAGAAGATCAAGTCGTGAAATTTCTCGGCAGCAAGTGGCCGCATAGTGGAGTAATTCGTGAAGGTTTGGTGCACCCAACTGCTGACGATATAGAAGAGTTGGAAGAAGCCTATTTCCGTCCCCTTAGGCAGGCAAGACCTTACCCGGAGTGTTTGTGCTCTGGTCTGGTATGCTGGCAGGTCGATGAAAGCTGAATGGTGGAAGCGGCCGGAGGAAGGGGCCTGCCCTTCCTTGACAAAGACAGTTCCATGTCCTCCGTCCAGGCCTTGAAATTCCTGGCCCAGCAGCTTGACGAGGCATCCATCTTGCTTGCATTCGCATCCTTCTGCAGCTGAGTTAGCTTTGGAGTCTCATTTATCTACTTTACCTACTGGCAATACCGACCACAGAGGTGGGCTTCGTGTTGATTGATGACTTCCTGCCCGATGAGGTGATCAGGAGGGTCAAGGCAGGCGTTCGGCAAATCGAGCCAGCAGAAGGTTAGCTTGCGGGGGCAGCCCACAGCACTGATGTGCACTAATGTTGAGGCCAGCA